GTCTTTAATTTTCAATTCTCTAGTCCAAATCCTATTTTTGGCCTGGGGTCTCTTAAACTAAGAAAAAAAATACAAGCCTCAAAAAGAAGAAATGAAGAAAAAAAAATAATAGAGAGAGTATTAGAGAAAGAAATTTGTACCCAGTAATTAGAAAGTAGCTATTACATATGTAAAACTTAGGATGAAGTGACTTGAGCTGTATATTTTGGTGAATATACAATCTTCAAGCTCATCATTAGATATAAAAGACTGATATGATACACAAACCAAAAAATTATGCAAGGCAATTATATGAGAAGAAACAGCATGGGAGTGGACGGGAGCAATCACAGATTGCTTACAAGATTACTGAGGAAGGTGATGGGAAGGGTGAGGAAGATGAGTATGGAAGCTGCAGTGGCAGTGGACAAGAGAGCAAGAAGCAGGAAAGTCTTGGCAAACATCGGATATCCGTCGCCAAGTGCTAGGGAATTGAATGATCCGAAGAAGGCAAAGTTAAGACACAGCACGAAAGCATGGAAAAAGGAGGGACTATTTTGGCTGAATATGATAGTTGGGACCAGGTTTCCTTCCACCTTTGTGTATTGGAGTCGGGTCAGCAACAAAACCGCTGCTATAGATGCTAATAATATCACTCCCTCTACTTGCTTCTTCTTTCTTGTTTCCTCCTTCATCTCTACATTCTCATGTATGTGCATCAGCTGTTAAGCAAGGTATCCAGCCTATATGTACATATATTTATTTATTTATTTATTCATACATCATCTCTTGCATGTATATTGATTGGAATATTTAATTTTGTTATTCAAGATAGTGTTTGGCAATGACTCCATTGATCACCACAAAACAAAACAAAAAAAAAAAATTAACTTTTTGAAAGTTGAAAAGTTGCCGCTGAAAGTTTTCAGCGGTGACTCACAGCAAGAGTTCTTATCGCTGATTCTATCTGTGATGATAATAAAAGTCATCACTAAAAGTTGAAAAAAGAAAATTTGTCACTGTAGAAAGATAATCATTGCTGAAAGTTGAGAATTAATAGTGACAAATGTCACCACAGAAATCACACATCAGCAACGACTATTTGGCCGTCGCTAAATGTTGAGCATTAGGTTGCCACTGAAAAATAATGCTAGTTTACCTATCCATGTGATGCCATGTTGCCCTCCATGTGTCACCCATGTCACCCTCTACATGGCACCATGTTGCCCTTCACGTGTCACCCACCTCAGGCCACGTGCCACCCCTGCCTCATATCACGTATCATTGTATCACTAATTTATATTTTTATTTTATAAATTACCTCTTTCAAGGTTTGAATTCATGAGTTCATTCTTTTGTATCCCATCATTTTGCCACTGAATAGAAATAAACATGCAATATGTTATTGCAAAATTAAATATATAATCTTAAACTAAACAAACACACATATATCTTAAATACTAAATTTTATAAAATATCATTACTATAATTAAATACTTCAATTTAATTATTTTAATTTATTAAAATTGAAAACTATATAATTTATTTTGCCTAGAGTAAACTATAAATATAATTGATACAATATCATTTGTATTATTTATGTTAATTTTTTTCTTCTCGAGGTTATTGTATTATTTGTTTTAATGTTCATATTTATAATTATAATATAAAATATCTAAGAATAAATAATTAAAATATAGATGATTATACATTAGTTCATAATTATTTATTTTTCTTGCTAGTTTTATTTAAAATTTCATGTTTACTTTTAATTAACAATAACTCTTAAATGATGTAATTGGCTTATTTTTACATTTTGTTTTACTTTTTAATTATTTTCATTTTTAAATAATAATTTTATAAAGAAATTATGCACTATATTGTCTTTTTTTTATTATATTGATGTTGCAAGATAGTAGTAAACAAAAAAAAAATCATATAGCATCACATAGATAGATATATTTCATATATTGTAAAAGTTAAAAGTAGAATTTTAGAATATCACATTTTTTTTCTTTTCATCTTTCTCTTTTCTATCATTAGCGATTAAACGAAGAACATCTAAACTAGCATCAAGCTTCTAAGTTATTAATATTAAATGTAAATTTTCAATTGAAAAATTAGATTAGATGAAATATTATTTTATGAATGAATAAATTTAACTATCACATCTCTAATTATTATAAATAAATAGTGTTATTATTTAAAATATTAATTTAATCATAAAACATTTGAAAATAAAAACTCATTACCGCATTATATGCATTTCAAATTAAAATATCAAACATTAGATTTTTGAATGAATTTATCACTTTGCATAGGCATATGTATTGGTCAATTCAGTTAGATTAGGTATTAATTGACCAAAACTAATGAATCAAACTGGCCTAAATAGTTGGACCAAATCAAACCAAATATTACTTGATAACAAAAATTGTCGTAAAATAATGCGACTTGGCTTAATTCTTTAATCTAGCTCATTAGCATTAAATAATACGGATCTTACCTTATCTTAAAATACTTCATCATTTTAAAGTTTACAATTTAATCATAAAATATATTAAATAAAAACTTATTATATTATTTTATATATTTATTATAAAATTGCAATAATACAACAAAATTAATGCCTTAAAATTTTAAATATTGGATTAAACAAAACATAAAAAATTATGATAATAATATGAAAATCAAACTTTTAGTTGCGACATTCAAAGTCGCCGTTGAAAGTCTCACTTTCGACAGTGACTCTAAAAAATTTTCACTGATTATGAACTTTTAACGGCAACTTATATGTAGTCATTAAAATTTAGACCTTCGATGATGACATGCACTTGTCACCACTAAAAATTTGACAATCAATAGTGACAATAAAAGCTGCCGACTTTTTATATAGCCATAGCAAATTATTCATTTTTAGCGACAATTTTTTATAGTCATTACTGAAAGTTTTTTTTTTTTTTTGTTTTTGTAGTGGACGTGCCTGGGTTACTTTTCAAAGTCAACGCAACTAGCTAGGCTTGACATATAGAATATTATTGCCTTAATTTGCCGCCCACATCAAACCGCGACAAACGGCCGCCTTGTAGAACTTAAATATTAGACGATCTTGTTCTTTCAAGACAAGAAATGTATCATTAGGTGAGATTTGTATCCTATTGGTGTTAAAAGATTAATTTTTGACACCTGGAAATGGAACAAAGGGCATGCTTTCACTAACAACCTTTGAAGATTTTGTTATTTTGTTAAAAATTAAGATCATATCATTAATTGGCTTCATCGAGCCAATCTCAGTCAGGCCTATTATGGCTCTAGCTAGCTTGAAGGGATCTCACATAATCATCGTCGAGTTGAAAGGTTACTTATCAAGTGGTTGTGGCATGGATGGTAATGGTGCAGGTTTCTTAAGTATCATTTCAATGTCTGATTCCTGGAGGTATGTACGAAGAGCATCTCCTTAGACTAGAGTAACCCTTAATTAAATAGAGCTCAAACAATTTCTTGAAGAACTAATCGATCTCACAGCTTCCAGCATGTGGTGATACCTTGGTAAATGAAAAAAAACTGAGGGAGATCGTCATGAGGCCATTGAGATATTTTCAACCTTAGAGATGGGGGCAGAGGGAGGGGCAGAGAGAGAGAGAGAGAGAGAGAGAGAAGGAAGGGAAATTAACCTTGGGAAATTAAATCTGTAACATGGTGGAGGTTCTGTCACATTTCCTATCTTGTATATGAGGAATACAAATCTATCATCCACGGTAAAAGAAACTCGGCCAAATCTTCAAACAGATGATGGGCTGATTAATGGGAATTTGATAAGGTATAATCCTTTGGTTTTGGGAAGCAATTTTATGATCGAATCTTGATTCCCTACTACCATTTTCTCTACTATATACAATTATACATCTCTACATTCTTTTCACAAGCAATATACTTTACAAAAATTTATAAAAAAAAATTTAAATCTGGTCCATACCTTTTTTTTGTTATGTGTGTGTGTGTGGGGCCAACAAATGAAAAACAAGTAATATTTTTTGTTTTCTATTTTCTCTCATTATGGAGGAAAGTAAAACTTGTATTTATATGATTATATTTATGATGTGTCGTGTGCTCCCCCCTCCTCCCGAAATGTAATATAAGATTGTGATTTTATTTTTAACACAACAACCAGAATATAATAGACAATTGTGCTTTTGAAAAATGGATATTTTTATGATATATATATATATATATATTAAATATTGTCTTTCTTTTGGCCAAAATATTAAATGTTGTCAATAATGCATGACATGTATGTTTTGAAGCTGATGCAATAAATTTTAATTTAATTAAATATTTAAAAAATAGTATGATTTCCTATGAAATGAGAGTCGTCTATCTGGTTCAACCGCACAAGAAAATTATTATTGCATCCACCTCAAACCAAAATACTATCATTCTTCTTGATTTTTTTTTTGGGGGTAAACATGCGGTGATTATTATTACATAAACCATTATTGGTAAAATAATTATGTACGTGCTTACCAGTAATTTATAAGCACACAATTTTCTGACAAGGACACAATTCTGATTTTTCTTAAACTAAGCGAATAATCGTTAGGTACAGGTACAGCACATGCATGCCTTGCGTTTGCGTCAACCATGTCAATTAGGCTAATTATATAGCCTGCATGGAATATAATACGATTAATCATTTATAGAATGAAATCGTTTAATTAATGGCAACTATTATAGTTATTATATCTAAGGTGCAGGACCATATAATCATTGCTATTAATAAAAACAAATGTCACGACATGCAGGCCATTTGCCAGATTAAATATATTGAATATTCTTGGAAAAAAAATTAATGTACATGATTAACTTAAGGCGTATCATGACAAACGACATTTGCTGGCAATGGCAATAATGATAAAAACATGCGTGTGATATACGTTGATTTTGAAATTTCAATTGGTCTGGTGTCGTTAATATAACACTTGTAATTAGGAATGGCGAGTATTGTATATATGAAAACTAATCAGCTTTGTGGTTTGAATTCCTTTCTTCTCAGAAGTTGAAACATTAATGGAGCGTGCGAAAGCATCTGGAAGGAGCTAGAGATGGGTCTCTAAAGGTAAATATCCATATCTCTATCTTAAAATTCTCTTCTATTTAGAAGATAAACTTAGCAACAACCAAATGCTAGTTCAATTGGTAAGAATTTGGTCCTTAACCCACAAGATCATAGGATTAACTATTGATATGAAGATTTTGTTAGTGGATAATCTATAAATACTTCTATAATTATTCTTTCAGTTTGGAGACATGCTCTACTTCTATTGAGCCCCCTGAGATCTAACTCACTTAAACTTTTTCTTATAAAAAAAAACAAGAAGATAAATTCACCTCATGAAAATGCTAATGTGCTACATTTTACTACAGGAAGTGTTATTACAATTGTCTCCATAACCTCCTCCACCAGACAACAGATATTCATATGATTATAGCTAGTACGTTTATCATCCTAGGTCTTGATATTTATGCGAAAAAAATTGAATAGGCAGTATTTGCCACCAACCAATACCATAATTAAGTGCATGGGCTAGGACAAGTAGTGTGTGTGTGTGTGTAACCATTAACATGGTTTAGGACAAGTAACACACACACTAATATGTATGTATATAGTGATAAAAGAGATTATTCCTTGTTGATTGAATTTATGATTTTAATTAGGTTGAGAAAATTGATAGAGTTTTAAAATGTAAATGAAATAAATTAATTAAAACAAGCCGTATGCTTAAATTATAATTATAATTAGATGAAACTTTTATCTAAAAATTATAATAGGGCCTAAAATTATTTATTCCATTTACATTTAGCCTCCTCTCAATTGAATTCATAAAACCTTATTTTAAGATGCAGTTCTAGATCTAATGTAATTATATACAAGTAGAGTCAAGAAAGTAGGCTCGGTTTGACAGGCTAGTCCATATAGTTGCCAACAAAATGAGCCCTTTAATTTTTTTGTTAACCCAGCCTACAAAAATGATGAGCTGTGCGAGCCGACATTTTCAAAGGACAAATTTTAAAAAAACAATGAATGCAATGATTTGCCTAAACTCACGTAGTTTTGGTTTTTGAACAGAATTGTTTTATAGTTGAATTTAGGGTGTTTAGTCACTCTTCAAGTAAAGTTGAGAAGTAAAAATAATATTTAATTTAAAAAATTAAGAATTTGACACGGCTTGTATTAGATTAAAATTATCACAAGTATTTGTCAGCATATTGAAGACCGTGCAGCCGATATTCAAAGTTCGTCAAATATTTAATAAACTGAGAGACAGAATGCAGATCTCAGATGCCGGAGAACTAAACCAAACAAATGACCAGGGCTGTTGTCATATATAAATAAAACAAACAAGCCAACACTCTTGCTTACATTTCATTACGCAATGGATTCGTATTGAGATTACAAAAAAGGTCAGGTTCTCCATCGTCTCGATCTCTTTGAATCTATGCACAAGCAGTCACGCCTAATATAATAAGACAGACGATCCCGCTGAGGACAGGGATTGGTTTGAGGTGAAAGGGCAAGACGGAAGCCAGACAAGTAAAACACGCGCAGATCATAAATGCTGCTCCTAATAACCGAACCACACGCCAACAATCATCATCATCATCAGCTGCTGGCAGTGAATTCTGCGAAGAAGAACATGATGATGATGCGCCTGCAACATCTTCTTCAGAAGAAAAGAGTTCTGAGGACCCAGGCGACGATGATGAAGACTCATGACGATTAGGAACACTATTGCCATGGCGAGAAAAGACGACTCCAAAAAACAAAGTCGAAATCATACGTATGATGAGCACCCAGGGATGCATCGTACTGTTCCCTGGAGCGACAAGAGGTAACGAGCGTGAAGAGAGACAATTGGAGATTAGGGCTACAGTAGAATTAGGCTAGAAGAGCGGTTGCTTGGATACTAGTTGTTTATGCGTATAGACGTCTCAACACGCTAATTTAATTTAATATTTACCTTAATCCCAGTCGCTCGTCTAACTTGTTATATGAACCAAAACAGTATATCTAAAACTCTATCATCAACGTGGGATTCGCCTAGTTAGCTTTCTTCATGTGTAGCAGAAGAACATATAATGTCTGGTAATTAATTACTTGTGGATGTCAAGTTCTAACTCGATCTTGTTTCGAGTGTTTTTTTTTTTTTTTTGCAGATAGGATGTAATTAAGTTGGTGGAAATGAAGCCAGAATCATTTAGGAGTTAATATGGAAAAGATTTGAACCTAGCCGAAGATATATACAGGAAATCAATTGAGACCTAAAAAATATTCTGTCTAGGTACTATAAAGGAGCTAGGCTGAGGTATTTCTCTGCATAAAATAAAACATTAATGCTCCTTTGGCCGATGATGAAGTTTAGATCGATCCTCTCATAGTATTATATATTTTTGTTAAGACGTTAAGTTATTTAAGTGTAAGTAGTCAATTTAAGCTGATATATAAAAAGTTTCATATTAAATAAAGTTAAATTTAATAATTAATGTATCATAAAGTCGAAAGAATTATGAACTGAAATATTTAAATTTTGAGTTAAAATATGATATAATTTCACTGGCTTTGTCCAAGACTTAATTAAAAGCCCGTATTGCATTCTTAACGGCAGGTTGTATATTGAGCAAGCAAATTCATATTTCCCCTTTGGAATGTTCTTTTCAATTTTTCTTTAATTTTCATTAATTATTAATTATTTAATACAAAATCAAACACAAGGAGGATTGGGAGACTCGATTTTTTTTTTATTTGTAGAAGTAGAATAGTATATTATCTACACGAATATGATAAATTATTGTCAACTCCCATTTCAATAAGTATTGATAATGCCAATGGAACCAACCTTTTCCTTCGATTTTAATTGCTTACCGAGAGGAGCATTGATTCTGCCTGAGGCTGACTACTTGCTAAATAAGATGATGATGATGATGATAATGATGATGATTATTATTATTATTATTTGCACGTTGATTATTTGGTTTTACGTAAAATATATAATTTATATGATTAATTATAGGGTTATGTTTAAAGTTTTTGGTTGCAAGACAAAACAGCACAACCAGTATATAATTTTCTTACCGGATATATATATTTTAGTAAACATTCATATATAAGTTGAAAAAGAGAAAAAAATCTTAAATGAGATAAGGGTAAGTTGTTTAGGAGTTAGTTTTCCTCCTCAGCTAAGGAGGAATTACTACCATGATTAAAAAATTAGACCGGATAGAATGGTCGAACCATCGACTGGTAAGGCTAATGGCTTAGTTGAGCCAAAAAAACTATTTGAAAAGTTGAGTTGGATTAGACTACTTCGAATTGGCTTTTGAATTGGGAACTGGATCCAGTTTTTAAAACTAGATGATTCAAAAAATATCCTTTTCTTTCTTTGTTTTTTTAAGAAAATGATCTATTTTTTTAATCATTTGATATTATGTTGTATTATATAGCATGTTAAGTTATGATAAACTTAAAATATTTGGTTTTATTTTTAAGTTAAGTAGAAATTTCATATTTATTTCTTATATGTACATTATTATATACATATATAATTTTTTTAATTTAATTATTATGTCACCAATTAAGTTGAACTATGCGAACTGTGAACTGCTAGCCTTTTCAATTCAATATCTAGTTTGGTTCTAAAAATATTGATCACTATATATCTGGACTGTTAAATTAAATTTGATGATTTAGATTCAATAATTTTTAAAAGTACAGATTTAATTTCAGTGATTAAGATTTACAGTGAAGGAGTAGTGGAGAGAAAAAGTTGTTGAGAGAAATTCACCCCTGTTATTTATCCATATGTAATTAATTTTTGGGAAGACGACAAATAAGAATCTTTTGAAAACATTAATGACAATTAAAGATCATGAATTACTAAAATAATATGGAGGGATCACGGTTCTTATTTGCAACTAAAAAAATGACTTTACAAAATTGCCCTTATCACCAAATCAATAATTTAGTCAATAGAAAGTCACTCACGAATTTAAGAAAAATTGATTGTGAATTTAAAAAAAAATTATTTTTAATTTTAGAAAGTTTAGTTGTGAATAAACAAATAATTTGCTGGGCGATGTATTTCTAGAGGTACTTATATCTATATGTTTCTTATTATTATTCCCTCTTATTCATAATATATGACATTTTCAAATGCACTGTTTGCCGAAATTAAAATATAGGATATTAAGTAGTTTTTATAATTTGGCTAAAGTATATATTTAAACCTTTAACTTTACAAAATATTTCATTTTAGTCCCTTAACTTTATAAAGGTTTTTTTAGCCCTTTAATCCTAACATTGCTAGTTTTATCCTAATAAATTTTTACATTAAACTTTCAAATATTGATATATTAAGTTTAATTTTTTAAATAATAATAATTGATACAAAAAATAATCATTTGAAACTAAAGACATTAATATTAAGGACCAAAAAGATACTTTATAAAATTAAAGAATAAAATTGAAATCTTATATAAAGTTAAGGATTAGAAATATATTTTAGCCTCATAATTATTTTCAATTATACTCTAATTTGATTTATTATTTCCCTTAAAAAGTTATTTATTAAAATTTCAATTGTTATTATTAAGGAACTTATATAGAGAATTTAATAAAAATATAATTGAAAATATGTATAAATTATTTTAAATAGTAATGCTTTAAGTAATTTTCTTTTAAAATCATGAGGTAGTCACCAATATCCTAGATTGTGAACCAAAGAGAATATGGGCCTGTTTGAAAACCTGTTTTGAAAATAGTTTTCTATTCTTCAGAACAAAAAGGAAAAAATTTTGTTTGTTAACGTGTTTGTAAAAAGTATTTTGGAGAACAAAATAATAAAATATTATTTTGAAAAACAGAAAAATAAAAACAACTTTTAAATGTTATGGGATTATTGTTCTGGTGAACATGAAAAAATGAAAAAAATACTTATTTTTATTATTTTTTTATTCTCAGAACATATTCTACAAAACACTAATTCTTATAACAATAAAATAAAAATAATTTCAAACAGCTAGCCCCTATGTTTGGGATTTATTGTTTCTTTTTTTTCCTTGAAATACCTTTGTTGAAAATATCTAGACTTCATTCCTTCCTTAATGATGATAATTTATTGCCACTGTTTCCAACCACACTTATTAAAAACAATTGATTTAAACTAAGGGGGAAAATATTGTATAATAATGCAATAGTTTTTGTTTATACTTAAGACCGGACACAGAGTAGCATGAGCATTTTAGTTTTGAAATACCTCATGATTTGTTATATTCTCTTTCTTCTTCTTTCTTCTCTGCCAATTCGAGCTCCCGACGTCTCAGTTGAACGCACAAAGCACCAACCAAATCGCCGGAAGTCACATCGGCTGAGGCATTTTAGTTACTGTAGGGCTAACCGTTTGGAGGGCTAAATAATTTCCTATAGACCGAATTTTAATATATGCTTGTTTGGGCCGGGTGACTCAAAATATTAACCCAAAATGTACAATTTGTAAATGATGAAAATGAAAGTTTCTGTTCCTGAAACTGGGTTTTTTAAATTGATGTTTTTTTAATAAAAGATAAATTGATGTTTTGAACAGTTATTAACTGATAGAGAGCCAAACGTCGCGTACACATTTGTGTAAAATGCTGGTAGAGATTAATTATACGACCACATTTCTATACATCAAGAGTTCAGCTTCTGATGAATTGCTGAATGTTTTCTACATTGATATATACGTTTAATATTTTTTGTTATATTTACAAAAACAATCAAATAATTAATTAAGATATTTAGGCATAAGTTCATACCCTATTATCTTAACATAGCAAGAATTTGTATTACTAATTTCAGCACCAACATATAATCTTAACTTTCTTTTATACCAAACGTACCTAGCATTATATTTAGGCATAAGTATATACTCTCTTTTTTCAGCATACCAAACGCACCTAACATTATAAGTTTCCAACTTTTCTGTGAATGTTGATTACTTGTCCTTGATATATGCCGCGCATTGAGTTGATTTTATAATATTTTAATTTGTAACGTAAAATACATGCCAACCTAATCATTTTCAATCATAATGTTAATTCAAAACCTTGTTTAAACGATATTGAGTAGGCTTTAGTGCTAATCCAACTGTACGTCGTCATTGGTTAATTTTACAGTTATCATGCATAAAGATTTTTCATTTTATGATTTTAGTCTTTTAGTTTTGCTTAAAAATATAGATTTTTCTTAACTTATAATATATATAATTTTGTTTAAAAAAGTCAATGATAACAGTGCTTTACGTTTTGTAACATGAGTTATGAATACAAATTAACATTAAATTACAAGAAAAAAAAATAATATCTAGTCATATAAATTACTTCTTATTATAGAAAAAAGATTACATATAGTAAAAAAATCTAGAAAGTAATTCGTTACTTGAGTGAATGAGAGTTAAAAAGTATACCGAATAATTCTTGGAAACGAACAGAAAAAGAATGAGATTGGACGAAGGAGAAACTAAGGAAATCAACAGCAAATGAAAGGTGTGACCAGAAGACTTTATTTTCTGTGGCAATATAATGAAGACACGTCCAACATATTGGAAGCCTTGCTCTATTACCATATGGTAACCGAAAAAAAAAAAGGTACTTTATGTATTTCACCTAGAGGTGTCAATTAGGGGCAACTCTTGAAGGGTCAAGATCTAAACAGGCTAGCCTTGTTAAGCCTGATTAGACTTTAGGGTTTCATTTTAGCCAGCCCAACTCTGGCCCTTAGGACTGAGAGGTTGGCTCTCAGGGCCTCGGCCCTATATATTTTTTATTTTTCAATTTAAAAATTTAAAAAACATGTTTAAAATTTTAAAAAAGTTATTACACATAATATTAAGTCTACAAAAATAAATTTAAAACAATACACACAATAACAAATTTAAGTCTAATCAAAAGTAGCAACCTTACAAAATCAACACCAATGACAATTAAACTTTACTAACATCATCAACTAAATCTTGGTGATTTTTATTTTCATCAACATTAAAATAATTTGATCCTTCTCCTTGTAGAGCCTTATCAATGGCAAAGATATTAAGCATTTCATATCTTCCTACTTCATCATCATTATCTGCAACAAATAATAAACCAAAAACATAATTCAATATATTTAAAATGTGCAAAAATATTCAAAGTAAACCAATAATAATAAGTTATCCTTCAACTCAAAAGTCAAAACCATGCAAGGAGTGTGAATGATAGAAATCAAATGACTATAAGGTAGGCAAGTTGTGGTTTTCCTTTTTCTAATTATTTTTACCTTTAGTGTGTAGTGTGTATTTTTTATATTGAATTTAATATATATATATATATATATAAGAGGGCCTAAAAGAGCCAGCCTTGGCCTAAGCCCAATTAACTATTTTACATCTTAAAGAAGTAGCTCGGCTTCAGATTTTTTGGGGTGTAAAAAGGCTGGCCTGATAAACTCGATCCTAATTGATGGCTCTTTCACCCTATTATTTAAAGAAAATTATATTATACTTTTTAGTATTATATACTATGTTATTGGTCCCATTTTGAGAAAAATAATAACCATGAATTAACATGCATATAGGAATTCCATTTGTTGATTGCATTAATATTCTAATATCAATAATATAATTATAGATATCGATGAGGCAAATAATTACACTTTTTCTTTTGGCAAAGAAAGAGGGACTTAGCCAACCTATGTGATGCTGGGTAGATTAGATATTTGAAATTCTAAATGAACTGTCATAAAAAATGTAATCCAAATCCAGAAATTTTTATAATTTTAAATAATGGATTTGATCCAAATTTAAGTTCAAATACTAACTAATCCAAATTAACGTAACTTTAGTTTATTTATTTATTTAGTTTAATTTGCTTTTGCATTCGGTATTCATGATGAGATTATCAATCATCATGACTAATCCAAATCAAAGTTTTAATACATTGTTTTAGATAGTTTTTGGGTCACCAAAGGCCTAATCCTTGAATGACCATCAAGGCTTTTGTTCTCTTCTACTCTTCATCTTATGTAGGTGTCAAAAGGCACTAATTAGACATTTTTTCCCCATATAGCATACATAACCTAATTACACCGGCTTGTTCTGAATTTTATGCAATGTTAATGATTTTATCTCTACATGGTGTTAAATTGATGAAATACTTTCTTGCTTTTCATCCAAAGTGCAAAAAATAAAAAGCTATATGCAGTCAATTAAGAATTTATCCCATTTTAATGCCAAAAAATAAACCTATAATTTTATTACTATTCATATGTGATTTTAATAACTTCATATATACATATATTTTACTTAAATTGAACCTTTTACATCATTCTTAATTTCTTTAAGTCTATAATTATTAAACTGTATAAATTCAATATGATTTATTTAATATGAATTTGGGTTTTGCAAACATTGCTTGAACTGATAAGAGTCTCATCATCGGTCTGAATAGGTAAATGGATCAGTCTACTTCGGTTTACTTGAGTGTCACCTGCTTAATTATGAAAGCCCAATTTTTTTATTTTTTTGGGTAACGGATTGAACCTTCTCTAGCCTCTTTGTACTTTGTAGTTCTATCTACACAACAAGCAAATACCAAGATATTAAAATTGAATCGATTATTAAATTAATTAAGGTATTGATTTAAAGTTAATAGTTAAAATGGTCATAAAAATAATTTATTAAATTGGTCAAGATACTAATTTAATTGTTTATTAGTTTAATTGGTCACGTCGGATTGATCTAGATTTTAATAATATGTTATTGATTTAACCGCTGATCTGTACCACTTGATTACTAGGGGAAATGAACTTTTAAAATCCAAGGGAAGAAAATTTTAAAAAGGGAGAAGAGCCTACCCATTACCAGCTTGTTCGATTTTTTTTTAAAATGTCTCAAAATTTAAGAAATGTTTATAATTTTTAATATGGAAGATATGGCACCCAGGACATATCTAGAACCAAATCTATGCGGCCCAAAATGCAAAACTGTACTACATTATAGTGGTGGCTAAAATTAATTTGATCATCTTTAACAAATAAAAACAAAGTAAATTTAACTGATTTCTTGTAAGACAATGCTTGGCCCCAAATCCGTCACTGCTATATAGAGCATTGAAAGTTTGAAACTATAAAGTTTTATCATTTAATTTTTTTGGAAAGATATAATTATTGGTTCTAATACTTTTAGTGTGTTTTAATGTTAGTCTTTCTCTATATATTTTTTTGTTGATTCAAATCTTTAAGTTTCATTTGTCCACATCATCAATCCTTTTTGTCATTAATCGAGATAAATTTGCTAATATATACATAACTTTGTTAATTCTGTTGCAAAGTTAGTAAAACTATGAAGTAGTTAGACATATTGTTTGAGCAAATTGACTATTAATTAACCTTTTTCTTGTCTGTCCTAAATATCGTCATCTTTCTTTTGAAACTACTTCAACCCATTAAGCATTTAAGAATTTTGATTTATTGTCGTATTTATTTTTTATCTTCTACTCGTTTTTATACAACTCATTACAGAACAAAAAGTAATAAATTTTATACCTTTTGGTCATATTTAAAAATATAAGAATTATGTTGCATACATATAAAACTTAAAAGATTTGGAGAAATAACAAAAATATATAGAAACTAATGTAAAGAATTTTTATTTTTGGCCACATTAAAATTATAGAGATAAACATATATATTTTCCCATATTTCTTGTTCTCTCCCCCTGGTCACATCGTTGTTGGCCGTGGAAATAATTTACTTGTTTGAATAGAAAACTGCCCATTGGCTGGAAAAAAACTACTCTCTTCGTTCAAAAATATAAGACATTTTTTTAAGAGGTGGATATTAAAAAATGTAAGGCATTTTTATTCTTTCGAGGTGTAATTATTACCTTTTTTTTAAAAGTGTCCCTATTTATAATGACTTTATATTTATTATAAAGTATTTAATAGGGTTAAATATAAAAAAATAAAATTAATTTAAAAGTAGATAATTATTTTATTGAAAGGTAATATTTAATTAAAAATAATTTATATTTTTAAATAGAGGGGGGTAAATAATAATCACTGAACAAGAAACAACGGCCGATGATTAAATAACTGTCATCCACGTCAGTCCCCTCGTGTATTTTTTTAGGAACAGTCAAATATTAAAAAATGTTTTTTTAGGAACATTTGACCAAGCAATCCTCATTACAAGCTAGGAAAACACAAAACACAGACTCGACAAACTTACAAACAGGCCAAACAAAAGTATTAAAAAATGCAGCGTCAAACGTTGGACCCTCATGATACCGCAAGTCCGCAACCCATGAAGGTCCCCAGGAGAATCATCCATCGAGACGGTGTTTTTCCAGCCAATGAAGGTTTTTTTTTTTTTTTTTTTCAGTGTTTCCTACCTACTTCATGCATTGGGATCTGATTGGACTCAACTTGAAAATATTCCGAATCTAGAATGTTATGTTTGTTTTATTTTATTTTACTTTATTGAGTCAAAGCCATTAATTTGATATGTTATGTTTATTCTAGATTCTAGAATGTCCACTATTATTTGCCCGTTTTGTTATATTATGGCTCCACTTTCCCACACCCTTTATAAATCAAAACAACCTGGATTAATTCTTTCAAGTTTCTGATTAATGTTTAATTTTATTTCTGATAATACATCATCTCATTAAAATTGCAGTTAGGGGTATTTGTTATAGGTAGCTTGGCTACCCTTCTTTTATTAAAACAAAAAATTGCATTTAGCCAGCTGACCGCCGTATTGTGGACTATATTCTTGCATATAATTTTGCATATGCTTATGTACTAAACCATTTTGTGGATTTTGAATTATTGTTTATCGCCGAAGGAATTTATTTTAATGCCCTGCTTTAATTTATATATACTGGGTAGCTTTTTATAAAATTAAATTTCTAAATAAGCTATTAGCTAATACATACATAAATTCTAAAGGACCTGAATTAAATGTATATAGAACAATAATAAGCTCCAAAATATAACAAAACAATACAGACCTCGAAATAAATTATATAATTTTTATTTAAATTTCTAATCATGTCAATATACAATTTAACAGATTGTATCATTTTCATAGATTAATTCAAACATGAAAATAAACCAAACAATTTCAACTATGTTATTTTGCAATATTAAAAATTTCAACCACATAATTTTCAATTATTTCAACCACCTGCTGGCTAAGGAAAAAAAAAAAGGAGAGAAAAGGATTTACAATGATTAATGATCAGGTCTAGAAATGTATTCATGCAAAAATCTCATTTTTCCAATCCCGCCGTTCTAAGAAAATACGGGGACCTAAATGGTAGTCATGAAATTCAAAATGACGGCAGACACTTGATTATCATAAAGAGAGTGAATGAGCTACTCATTCCTTCTTCTTTTTTTTATTTCTTTTTTTTTTTTTAACACCCACCGTGTTCATTCCAACATAGCGCAGACCAACCTGACGACCTTCGCTCAATAAGATCTCTATTTGAAGCAGGATTAGGATGATACCATACTGCTGAATAATTGTGTCAGCCCCCACGCGAACTTTAATTCCACTTCAGCTTTGAAACAACGAGATCTGCACAGGAAAACATCTCTCTCCTAAAACGACGAAACTAATGGAATTAAAACAGCAAGAAAACTCTATAAGTTAAACACCTATTAAAAAATGTATTTATATTTAATGCTCGAATGTATTTTAAATATTATTATTTTTAACAGAAATCACATTTATTGAGTATGATGTCCATTTTCCCGTTTTCTAGAATGCCCTGTGCCTAGTTTTTTCACCGCAGTCCCGGTTGAAAGCTACTGACGTCACGTCTGGGTTCTGCCTCCTATTTGAATAGTGCACACAACTACATGCCGAACAAATAAAAACCACGTGGACTTTGACTTTGATTAATTAATTACAATTCTTCGAAGTTTCTGATCATTAATGTCAAAGTTACACGTGCTCACTTTCATGTTCTTGCCGTCTTGTTCTGCCCCGTATGTAAATGGCACTCAAAGCGAGTTGCGAGGTCATTCTTGCTGAGAGGTTCGCTTGGCTCGGTTAGTTATCATTTCTCGCTGGAGAGAATTAGGATGAATCGGCCGGAAACACCTACACCCTCGCTCCTCAGCCGTCTGATATCAGCTTTAACTCTTCTTAATTTAACCTTCAATCTGTCCCATCAGCCTCCTGCCGCTGCTACTCCTCCTTATGAAGATGGTCCTGAAGAGCAATCTCCAGAATCCTCTGATGCCACCATACTGGACTCGAAATTCTCACCGGCTTCCGCTTTCGCTCCCTCTTCAACAAATGGAACAAGGGACCGCTCCTTCCATGTAGTCGACATCGGGGATGGCTCTTTCCTTTCATGCTCGGAGGCTTCTTCCAAACCGTCCCATCAAACTGCAGCGGCTTCTCCAAAGTCAACTCTGCAGAGTGACTCTGATACGGGCTTCCCGCCACAACGCCCAGCATCAGATTCCAACTTCTCATCGACGGCTCCGGCAAGCTCTTTTGATGTGCTGGAAAACATTCTATTATCATCTCTATTCACTCGCCTCTCTTCGATCAACAATAGGTCCTCGACTAGGGTTTCCTCTTCATGGAAAGTGCCCTCTCCTTCGTCCCCGAGCAAACCCATTCACGACCCTACTATTCCAAATACCCACTCACAGATTTCGTGCGCGTCACAAGAAGAGAGTGATAACATGCGAGCTGAAACAAGTGGAAGCAGGGACCCCTCCTTCCATGTAATGGACGTCGGGGATGCCTCCTTCCCTTCATGCTTATCATCGTCTTCTTCCTCAGCAGTCTCTTCTTCCTCTTTTTCATCAAAAGACTCGTTTCCTGCATCTTCCACCCCAGCCCCCACCACCCAAAATTCACAACCAAAGGCTGAAATGTCAACTGAAGTGAACAATCCTGGCAGCCTCCGTTTGATGAGCTCGGGTACTTCGAACCCATTATTGCTTTCATTATCAGAAGTCTCTTCTCGAGAAGAAAGTAGTGCTCTATCATCTTTTTCATCTGCAACACCTCTCAATCAAGATTCACAGCCATCAGTACCTTTCCATCTTTCACTCCAATCGCTTTTGTCTTCCACCATCCCTTCTCAACAAGGTCCAGCGACATCCCTACAAAATTCACAGCCAGATACTGAAACGACAAGGACAGATCCTGATTCGCTCCATGCGGTGGAGATCCCTCGACAATGGGGCAGGGTTTTACTTGTTGTTGCCACGTCTACTATAATTGGCGTGGCATTCACTGCGAGACACCTCACAACCGCCGTGATATGCGTAGTAGTAATTGCAGATTGCATTTCCATCCCTTGTATTTTGATCGTCGACAATCTGCTCTCTAAGATTCCTGGCAAAACTATTCCTTTCCTTGTGACATTTGGACAATCCATGGCGATGTTGGGGTTTTTTGCTTTATCATTTGACCTCTTACCTAGATACTTTAAAATTGTCCCTGTTCTCTTCTGGGTTGGCAGTAGTATTGCAGTTTATTTTGGCGTTACTTCCAAAAGAGAAGGTAAAGGCGCCTGAAAGAGAAGGTAATGGTGAGCCCTAGCTGTCTGGTTTATGTATCTACATTTAACTTCACGTTTTACTTATTTTCTTCCCTTGACTAATCACTACTCTCATTTAGTTTTTATACATGCTAAAGATGGGAATAATGAACAAATGTTAAAAGAAAGCTTTATCAGCCACGGGTGAGAGCCATTGTTTGAATCTGCGATTTTTCCGGAACATATCCAGTAGATTTGGTAGGAGCATACACACACTCTCTCAGTAGCTTTATTCCATCTCTTATTTAAAATTTGAAAATCTAAGAGCTTCATTTGTTAAGTGATTCATTTCTCCAGAATCATTCTAGTTTCTTTGTGCTTAACAATTCACTCTTCTTAACACTTTGGATTTTTTGTATAGTGATTCATGTATTATTGGATGTTAACATCTCTAGTTTTGATAATTTCAATTTTAAAGATTGTTTTGTAAGAGACTATATTAAGGACTTAGCAAGTTAGAGAAGAAATTAAATTAAAAGATATATCAAGTTAATTAGCAAGTGAAGACTTTGTTTGAATAGGCTTATGTTTTAAATCTCTCACTTATGTAACTTTGTTATTTGCTCTAATCATTTAGTTATTTGATGAAACTAGGCATCTCTATCTTGATTAATTACTTAAGTGCTACTTAAAACTTGAAATTCATGGTCTTAAAGGTGGTTCAGAGCATTTTTGAAAACGTACTTTTAGAGGCATGCTATTTATCCTGGACTATCTTTGTATTCGAATACTAGATGCAGTATTCAACTGTGCTTAGTCATTGTGAACTTGCTTTTTGCCCCTGGACAAATATTATTCGCCTGTATATCCTTGTTCACACTCGACTATTCTTTGTTGACATGCTCTATCAAAATCTTATTCGACCATTTAATTTGCAACATTGTTCGACTACGTCACTTTGGAAAAGAACTTGGTTTGCTTATGTTAAAACGTTAATGATGTGTGGTTTTGAGCTTATCTTAGCATACGAATTGTTGGGATATTATATATGTATATATGGTTTCTTGGAAAATTCGGTGTAATTGTAATTATGCGAAAATTACTGCTACGTGGGAACGTTTATTAATGTCTATTATCCTAGAAATTGAATTGAAAATTGGTTTTCCCTGTTCGAGGAATTGTTATATATGATTTTTAAGACTTATATTGCATATGTTAATTGTACTAGAATTGGGTTGAGGTCAGAGACGATGTGATGATGTATGGGAGATATGTTGAATCATCCATTTTACGTAATATGTCACCACTAAGGAGTCCAGTGATTTGCACATTCTTATATATATATATATATATATATAGGGCTTTTGATATTATTCTATCTTTTGGTCGGGATTGAGATAAGCCCTTGGAAAAGTATAACAGCTACGTAGTGGTGTTTTAAAGAGAGAGAACTACTCGTGGTCTGGTTGTGGGTTCAGTAGCCTTTGACTGAGTTATATTTCACGATTGATGAGCTTGGAGCACATAGTCTAATCATATATATGGACGAATCCTATTGTGTAATTAATAGCACGTGTTCAATCAAAGGTAATAAGAAGGTTATAAGAAAAGTTGAGTGAGTTATGCATTTCTTTCATCACGTTTATTATTTTATGAAGGTAGAAAAAGTATGATTATCTTTTACGCAAGACTCTTGTTAAATTTATGTCCTTCTAACTAACTCTTATTGTAAAGTGGTTACTAAGGTTGTAATGTCTTGCTAAACGGTCTTCAATGTTTTTTCAGGAGAAGGATCAGTAGGAGACAAGGGGAAGACATTTGAGGCTTGAGGCTTTATAACATTACCGAACATTAGGGCATTTTCTCTTGGCATGCGTGTACTTTTGGAATACTTTGAGTATTTTGACTTATGTTCAAGTTTTTGAATGGATCATGAGTTTTAATTTCCTATTATTCAACTTGATTTGATATGCTATTTTTCGATTGCTACTGTTGGCATTATGCTCAAGGGATTGAATCTTATGATGAAATATGGTATTGAAACCCTTATATTTGGTATGAAATTTATGTCGGAATGTTATTTGGATATTGATCGATTTAAAGGTTTATGATTTGCTATTTTGGGCTGATTTTCATGTTTTTGCCCTCCTGTACGTGCCATGCCATACCATACCATTTTGCGAAGCCCTCTCCATCTATAACATTTATACTCCCCCATTGGAACTTAGAACAGGTAGCTAGCATTAAGACATACTCTTTTGGTCCTATTTATGAGACATTGAAAGAGTATTTATTTTTATTTTATTTACCAGACACCTCAACAATTATTATATTCATTTTTATTATTTTGTCCCTATTAAATGTTGAGAAATTTATTAAATGTTATAGTATTTTATTTTTAAAGTAGGTATATTTAATAGGAATAAAGTTAAAACTTGTGAATTTTTTAGACAAAGTTAATGAGGTTAAACATTTTTTTGGTTCATGTGAAGAGGTAAAAATATTAAAAATAACTTATAAATAGGACAAAAAAAGTATAATTTAAACTAGTTTTATATCTCAGCCTTCAAAATCAAAATGGTATTCTAGTCCCTTATCTTGGGTTTGAGGGAAGCCTATTAGGTTGGTTTCTCTAGGTTTATTTTTGCCTATTCGATTGTAATTTATTAGCACATGGCTTGTCTTTTCTATTTTCTATTCTCTAGGGTTTTTCTTTTATAAACACACACACAACTACAAAAGTTGCATTATAGAAATGAATGCAAGAAAATTATAGAAACTCTCTGAATTCAAGTTGATAAAGATCCATATATATATATATATATATATATTGTGCCCTACATGAAATGGAAGGTATTAAAATAGCTAGAGCTATTTATATAACATTTAACAGTGTTTGCTTTTGGGAAATTTTAACCGCATATTTAATTTATTATTACTAAATATATAGTATTAACTATTAAGAACGTATTAAGATCAAAATAACACAGTTTTAAAACTTTTCTTCCTCTTCTTTCCTCATTTTATTTTTCTTCTGACCACCCAAACAAGCCATAATTTCTTTCGCTTATAATTACAATGGATCAAATAAAACGGCACATCAGCATCATCATTGTAAAAAAAAAAAATCAGTTCATTTTCTGCTTAGCTTTTTAAGTTCTAGATCAAGTTCCCCTACAAAGAAATTTTATGCACTAATTAAATTGATATTATGATATTTAGTTGAAAATGAAACTATATGACATGCCACTTTTATGGCTTTTTATGTAACATCCGAAAAAAATTTAACTCCCTAATTAAGTAAATTAATAAAAGGTTAATTAAATAAATTTAAGTAAAAGTGGGTTGAGGATGGTTAAAGAAGGGCTAATAGATCTATTAGGCTTTGATTTCAGCCTTTGCACCGAGTTCAAAATTAAATTGGGCCACTTGGGCCCAAATGGAGGACTAAATTGGGCCAAGGCGGATGATCAATTTCCATACTAAAGAGAACATGGGTCTAGTTCAAAAATTGGAAAGGAAACAAAGAAGGGCGAAGAGACAGGAATTACACTTTACTAGGGCTTGAGTATTTGGGAGATTTGAGAAGATTTTGGGCTTCTAATAACTTCTAGTAAGCTTTCTTTCCCTTCTGCTTCCTCTTTAATTAGTTTCAAGTTATGGTTTGCTATGGGGGAGTAAATTTCATACCTTTAGGGCATTGGGTCCAAACTTATTAGCATAAATAGATTTAATAGGAGTTGTTTAAGTTATCTATTCCTAAGTTTGATGTTTTTGAGCATCCTTGAGTTTGGCCTCACATTTATGGACGAATTTAAGTTGTTGGAGAGCCATAAATGTGTTGGTTGTGAGTAATGGCGGCCATTGATGATCTTAATAAGTAAAATAAAGTTAGTTGAAATTAGTAGAAGCTAATACACCTAATGGGTATGAATAAATGCTATTGGTTTTGAATTTTGGATAGTGAAAGTGTTGGAATTGGGAGTGAGAAGCATATTTATGATGATATTAACGGTGTTTAGCATGATTAATTATAGATTTATTGTTTTGGACACCTTTTGGTTTTGAGATTAGCCTTGGAAGTGAATTATGTTTGAAGGGTAAACTTTTGACTTCTCAAAGGTTTAAAGTAATCTGAAAAAATCTAATTTATGCATTTGATTGTCTAATTAATTATAAAAGTTTTATAACTAGATTGAAATATGTATTGTGCCTTGAAATGTTTGACATGCAAGTGTGGCTTGAAGTTGGCAATTATATTGAGTTTTGTAAAGTGTGATCAAATGAATTGTATGCAAATAACTATGTAAATTTTGAGTGCTATATATATGATCCTGTGGAAATTTATATGGAAGAGAATAATCATTGTTGATTTTATGACATGTAAATGTGATTATGTAGAAAACATGATACTATGAGACAATTATGATGATTTGGCGTGATTATGGTATAGATGGTTGAATTATGGAATATGATATCATGCTTTGAGTTGAGTAAATGATGACTAGCATTCTTGTTGTGTGAGTAAGCATGTTGTTACATGATTATGGTTAGCGGGAGTTCACCTCAGGGAAAGAAGTAGTGTAAGTTCACATGGTATGGCCACCTTTCAATAATCAAAAACTAACCTTTGTCCTACTATTTGTTAAGGGATTGTCCCATTATTATTTGTTGAGGGACTCTAACCTCTTTTCTCCACTTTTAAGGTTAACAACACCCTAGTGATTCAAGAACGGGAAATCCATTATTTAAGAGTGAGTGTAGTAACCTTTGACTAGGTTGCTCTTCATGATTAGTGAACTTGAGCAGTCTAGTTACACAAACAAAACCTTATTTGATTTAACAGCCCACGATTTCAATAGGAAGAATTAAGAGGTTATAAGGGAGGAATTGATCTTATCATTGTAATTGATTACATGGTTGTTAAATTTGTGATAGTGACTACTGGTGCTATAGATGAACATGAATTAAGCTCAAGTTTTGCATTTTCTATGTTTGATTGACATGTATGTGTATTAATTAAACTGTCCTTAGTTACTGAGTGATTATACCACCCGTCTTCTTAACATTTTACAAGCATTAGCTCAAGTTAGGATAGAAGGAAAGCACCGAAGGCTTAGAAACCTTGTTCCTAGTGTAAGCCTCTTTATTTTGCTTTATATGTGTGGTATTGCCAACTAGGAATGTATTTTTGACATAACTTGAACCATTTGCATGATATGTTTTTTTTTCATATTTTGGGTCCTTAGATGTATGTATTGTGATTTGATTAATTTAGGTAGGGCCAAAATATTGGCACAATTGTGATAGTGATTATTTGAAAGGTTGTAAATGAATTACTAATGGTTATGCATGCTGATTGCATGCCCCTATTATTTTTTAGATTAAGGGTTTGACAATTGATTTTGAATTATATGTGTGATATGACTATTATGGTGTATTACACAGATAGTCCTTAATCTGTCGAGTGTGGTTTAAGTGTTGGGTTGAGCTAATGGCATTTTGGGTGAGTCTTGGATACCCTTGTCATTGTTAAGTGTGAATAGGTGGTTTAATTGCATTTTGGTGTCTAACTTTTTAGTGTGAAATAATAATTTGGAAATAAAACTTATGCCATTAGCTAAGTTATGAAAAGAGCTTTTTATACACATCTAAATCACTTCGATCGAATGTTGGAAGGAGGAATGGGACACGTCGAAAGTTTGGCCTCAAGTCCTATCAAATGATAACAAAATGCTGTCAAAACTATGCAATTAAGGTACCTTGGCACATGACATAGAAAGGAGTTAGCCACAAAGCATCTCCTTCAGCCATGGCAATTTCCTCTAATTGTGCTATTTTGACATTTTTTCAATCTAGTCTCAAAAGTTTAAGTATAATATGATATCTTATGCTTCCGTATATATTTAAACTCTTATTTATATTAGTTTTACTTTATTTTGAAGTAATTCAACTATTAAAAATTTGGGATTCCAAATTTATTATTATGCTTGAATTTTGTTTCGGTTAAACAACTGGGGTAATTAGGGTAATATTACATTTTATAACATAACGCATGTATTTTACTAAAAGAATAACGTATATTTCATACGCTGGTTAACATTTTTAACATATTTGATAAAATATTAAACTTGAAGATCGTATTGGATAAAAAAAAATATTAGTTTGGTCGCTAGAGTTATCGCATTGCAAAACTTGTTTAAAGACACATTTTATTTTTCAGCTCATTCAAGAAAAGAAGTCATAATAAAAGGGGGGGGAGGGGGACACTTATTAAGTCACACTACACAAGCATCATCTCCATCTTTTTTGGTCTATATAAGCATCTAGGTGGTCTTATCTTTTATGTTATATTTATTTATAATTAATTATTAACACTCCCTCCGTTCAAAAATATAAAGCATTTTTTGAGGAGTTGGATGTACAAAAATGTAAAGTATTTTTAGTTTTTTGAGGTGTAATCATTGTCTTTTTTTCAAAAGTGCCCTTATTGATAATGACTTTATAGTTATTATAGGGTATTTAATATGGATAAATATGAAAAAATAAGGTTAGTTAGAAAATAGGTCACTACTTTATTGAGGGTGAGATTTGGTTAAAAATGCCTTACATTTTTTAACGGAAGGAGTAACTCTTATGCATCTTTGAAAGTTGGGTTAATGTTCAATTTTACCTTTGTACTTATTTTTTAAGAGTGTTGAGCACTCTATACTCTTAAGTGGGGCAATTTTCCTCTTGAAATATTTTTTTGAGGTCCAAAAATGCCATTCTATTAAGAGGCCAATAATTTTGCCGTTTTTTGCTGATATGGTATGTGTGTGGGGTCTACATATAGTAACAGGTAAAACTCTGATCATATTTTTTTGTGCTAATTTGCCCCTAGGATCATTGGGTATCTTGAAGTCATATTAAAATAAAATTTAATAAATATTGCAAACATATTAAATATTTTCATATGTAATAATTTAAATATTATTATTTATAAATATTATAAATTACTTTTTAAATATTGATAATTCAAACTAACATTTTATAAATCTATAGATAACTTTTTATTTTTTATATATTGATATTCAATTTTCTCTTCAAGGCAATGTCCAAATCGTTTCACCTTTTAT